TGCGCCTCTCTGCCGCCATCGCCGCTGCCACCGCTGTGAGGCTATTTATAGATCATAGATTATTATCTGCGATATATACACGGCTTCTGCTATCATAAGCGATCCGTGAGATGCCTATTTCACAGATGGTCGGTGATAATTATTGCGCGGCTAGACCAACCAATTATTATTATTGCGCTCGAGTCTCCGTATTTTGTTCTTCTCCTTTTCATCCTCGTTTATAAGCGTCAACCAATCTCACTGTCTTTCCCGGTTGATGGAAGAATAATTGACGGAGAGAAGGAGTTGAGGGGGGAAAAAACAGCGAATGGATTCGAAGAGCGATTATCCGTGTATCAAAATCCGTTATTCGAGTAATATTAGAAATAAATATGGCGACTTCGTTTGATTTATTACGGTTAACTGAATATAGAACGTACAAGTACACACATGAGTAGAAGATCATCGAGACGTGCTGACAAGTGATAAATTATTTATTATTATGAGATTCGTTTGTATCTCATCTATAATTTTACAGACAGAGATGAAATCTTCAAGATTACCGAGCCTAATTAACGCTCGGAGTACAAGACGGTTTAAATTTTACAAGAATAAATTATTGAAAAAAAGAAACAAAGTGAATTGATAATGACAATAATTAAATTCTCGAAGAGGAGGTCGTAACTTCCGTCGATGCCGTCCGATTGCGTGCGTCGTATCGATGGACATTTTCCTCCTCCTTATCGTGAGCATCGAAAGGGATTTTATCCTGGCCGCTGCGAGGTAGCTTTATAAATAGCTACCAGAAGTTTTTGCATGGCGGTTTTGCATGAGGCGCCTAATACTCGCTCTGACGATTACTCCTGGCGCCAGCGCACGATGGACCTCCTCCGGGCACCCCTTGGTCCCTCCCATCTAATGGCAGACGGTTAATGGGAAGTTAATGTTCGCCGTGTGCTAACTACGAGACCGGTCTTTCTTCCTCTTTCCACGAGTCTCTTTCTTTTCCTCGGAGCGCATCCCGTGGCTGCTACTCCGCTTTTTCTTTCTCCTTCATTTCTCTCCCCATTACACGTTTCTCCTCTTTCCCCCCCCGCCCCTCCTCCTCTCTCGCTCCCTCTCTCTCCCTCTGTCTCCTCTTCCGATTTCACGTGCACCTTGCGATTCTCCTTTTCTCCATGTACATCGGCGTCGATTGCCGCGTGATGAGTGTAGCGTGTAATTGAGCAGCTCTAATTGCGTGTACTGTTAGAAGAAGATGACTCGATCCTGATGACTTGACGGCACGAGTATAAAGTTTATTTATAGCCGCGCGCTTGTAGGTGCTGCTGCCCCGACAGATATTCTCCAACGCGCATCGCTGCTCCCGTGAGCGTTGCCTGTGAATTTTTAACCGATTGTTTTATTATTTTCATATTGTTTCCGGATTAATATCTTCCATTACTTTTTGTGTCTACTTTACAAATCTGAAATTCACTTTTCGTTTCCTTGTCAGCTTTGGAGCTTAGAAGATTTGCATAATCCATCCGACAGCGTAGGATATTGCAGAGTCGTGAGAGTCGAGCTGTAAAATATTTGGGAATTCCTCCTCCGAAGCTTCTCAAAGATATTCCCCTCTCGCTTCGCTGACACCGGTGACGGATTCCTAATTCGCGAGATTTCTTATTCGCCGATTTTACTCCCTTCTCGCGCGACGGCGCACCGACGGGAGAGAATACCGTCATCGTCGTGCCGGGAATAGAACCGGCCCTCTGGTCGATGCACTCCGACAAGAAATGAGTCCTGTGCATCGCAATACCGATCGCCTCCTGTATGACGCTCGCATTGTGTTCCGAGTCGAGATTTTGATCGACGTAATCTCCCCGATCCGATTAGATGATCCTCCTTTGTTCACTCGAATTAACTTCATATCGGCCGTGCCGTGATCTGCCTCGCGAGAGATTCCTGGATGTACAGCTCCGTGACAGCGTAGATTCTTTGTTCCGTCCATCTTTGCGCGAAAGCGGCACGCTTTGTTCTACCGATTTTCCGCATTATCAGCCATCGATCTTCTACATCCTGCGCCTCATCGGTCCTTCTCCTTCTACATCTTTTACTGCATCGATGCGTGATGCGAAGGCAATTCTCCAATATCCTCCGAGATTTCAGAGATCAACGAGATTTCATCGACTTAATTATTTTTGAAGATGTAATAATAATAATAATTACGTAAAAAAGAATTATATTGTTATTCTTCGTTGTTGAAAAATCCTCCGAATGCATATTATTTAATAATCCTAGATTGTTATGCTTCTATGGAACAAGTTAGATGTGTAAAGTACAAAACAAGAAAAATCATTAAAAATATTCCTTTCAATTCGCGTTCGCACAACTTGATCTGTTGCATGTTAATGCATTCTCACAAGATCGCGCCGAATGCTTCGTGCACGGTAGATTTTATTTCTTCGAGATTTCTGCAAAATTATACGATGGCGGTTTTCCCATGGCGGGAAAACACGCTCGCTAACGGAATCTGCCCGATCTGAAAATCTGCACTTTATTTTCTCGACACCTTACCATAATGATCGCAACGGTCACTTTCCGTGGGACGCGAAAATTCTCACGGCTCAATAGACATTTCTTCCATTCCGTTTCTCTCGGCTTCACGAAATTTCGCGTCTGAGAAAAGAACCTCAAGCAATATTCGAGAAATATAAAATTCACTAAATTCTCTAAATTTCTTCGATATACATACATTATTCGCAGCCTTCGTCCGCGAAAGGTGCGTAGTGCTAACGAACGTGTCCGCGCTCGGATCGTAGCAAAAGCTCGAGTTTACTCAACAATTAGCTGCTCGAGGTGCGTCGAGCGGAATCCACGGGTGAACGCAGGGAACATTTGCATTTAGCATAACGTATAGATCCGTGTGTACATCGTTTCATGCTTTTTTTCTTCCGCGAACAGAGCGGAGAGAGAAAGGTCGGAGCCGCGCGACCGCGCGCAAACGAGTTTATTGACTCCGAATTTTTCGCCGATCTGTCAATATCGATAACAAAAGAATCTTCGATCGAAGTTTCGTTTTAATGAAAAAGAGAGAGTCCTGAAGAAACGTTCTAATTTTTATTTTTCGTCGTGGAATAGAGGGAGGAGGCGCACTCACCCCGTTCCATCAGCGACTTATTTTGGAGAACGGGCTTCGCACGTAGAATGTACCGGATGTCGGTGACACGTGGTAGGAAGAGCAATTTTGCGAGATAACATTTCGGTGAAATATTACATCGCGCATCGTAGTTCGACTCGAGTCAGTTTTATTCTTGAAAGACTTGTTCGTTATCGCAAAATACTCGGCAACGAAAGCAGCGATATCTCAGATATATCATTTCAAGCAACTCCAATTAAATATGAAGAAAATTGGGCAATTAAGATGCGATTAACACGGCGGCCTCAAATTTCCCATCGTCCGGTTCGTTACTTCCCATCGCGCCATCGTCCGACGTTACGATTGCTCTTTCGCACTGCGGAATCATCGATCGGGCGCCAAACGTTGCCCGTGAACGGCGGCGCCGACGAGACGGACAACTTCGGCCGATCTATGCAGAAGAGGTGGCGGCGTTAAAAGCCATACGTTACCGTCTACGATCTCGTAACGATCATTCCGTACCGTTATTCTCGGTCAAGGTTCTCGCGCCGAGATCGAATTGAAATATCCCGTTCGCCAAGTCCACGTCGAGCGCGATCGGATCAAATGCGCGTGGTCCAACGACCTGAACGAGCTTCGCGAGTCTCGTCTCTTTCGCTTGTAAACAACGACGTGATTACCGTGCGGATAATATCGAGGCTAATTAGCGATTAATGTGCGCATATTTTATCAAGAGACCGGACCACGAAGCCGGATCTATATATGGAAATCGATAAAAATTTACACAGCGGGGGCTTCGGACCGGGCCTCGCGCGCCGAATGATTCTCCTCGAGGAGATTTATTCATTCTCGAATCTACCGTGTGTATCGCACGGAGAACGGGAGAAACATGTTTCTTCCAGCACCTTCTTACTCTATCTCGGCCCGAGTCGAGCGGCGATAATCTACGAGCGGGATATTTGAGGCAACGTTTTTATTAACAATTCCGAATAATTGCAACCGGCGCTTTTCTGCACTCGTCCGTCGAGAAAAGTTACGTAAAGCGGGAAGTTACCGTAAACACGCGGCGTAACGTGTGTTGTGCACCGTTCGAAAGCCATTTCTCTCCACGCCGACGCGAGCACGTGCGGTAATGTTTTCGCCACCGCGTCGGTTCGCGTAACAGCCCGACTGCAACAAAGGGACCACGTCCAGTGGGTCCCGTTTTGCACATTTGACACGCGCGAACCCGGCGCGAGTCTCAACGCGCGTGTTGGAGTCTCAAAGCCGCGCGAAGGAGTCCGCGCACTTGCCGCGCGTGGACGCGCTCGCGCGACGGCGTGTGAGGTCGTGTGAGGTCGTACCACACGGTGGAGGGACATAAACGAGCGAATAGGTTGAGGGTCGCGAGTGGCCGTTGACCCTGCCTGCGTATGTACCTGTGTAGTATGCCGGTGTCGGCGAGCGTACGAGCGCGCCTAGACAGGCCGGAATCCGCGCATTGGTAATAGCCTTCTCTACCGGCTTCTTTACCGGCTACTTACTTCTCTACCTCTCGCAAAGGAAGATATTTATGGTCCCGCCCGCGGCTCCTGCGGTCGCGACGAAAAGATCCTTCCGCAGACTTTTTCGTCTCGTGCGCGAGATGCGCATGGTCGTTAATTAATAACTACTAAATTTCGCCTTCGGCTTCGACAGGATTCCAAGCGAGATATCGATCCTTCGTCCGAAGAATTTAGCTTATTCTAGTCATCACTGATAGTTGAATAGAAATTAAGCAGCCGCGAAATTAAATGCTTGAGACATCAATCTATCACAGTGTCATGAAATAATAATATGGTTCATAAGATTAGACTGATTGTTTTCGATAGAGTTTATATTGATTGGAAGAATATCAATCGCAAATGTCACAATCCTGTTGCAGTTTCCATCCACCTTGTCGTCAGAACTGCTGCCTGATCAGAATAATCTGAATTGTGCGAATGTACCAGGAATCTTACCAGCGAATGCTGATATTTCACCGGCAGCGAGGGATCTCCTGAAACGGCTTTTACAGCCGGACCCTCGTCTTAGACTTAAAACTCTTCTCAATCTTCAACGGATCGCTTTTTACATGGGTTACGATATTCAAAGTTACATGTTAAAAAAGGTAATCGTTAATACAGTTCAGATAATAGTGTTCTGTCTTCCTTAATCATTAATCTAAGAAAAGATATTTATTCTGGTAAAATTGAATAATTTATATGGCATATAAAAAGTTTTTAGCGTTTATACAATGGAACATCTTATCTATCATATCTTCTTCTTTGAAAAATATAAAACTTCATATTTTGATATGAAAATAAAGATTAGATGATGATTAATGATCTTTTATCAGACTTTTGTTACAAAGATAACGATAAATTTACGTAAAAACTAACAATTAAATTTATTCATTACTTTCTGTCATATGCAGGAATCGCCATTCCGAATTTTAGGAGTGAAAAATCGAGGAGAAGTGCAGCAAAAAAAAGACGATTTCGATAAAAAATTTTCGAATTTTGAATCTTTTCCTGAAGACAATACTACGCAAACAAGTCATCGATGATCTCAGGTACTTAATATATATTATTAATTTTATATCATCTATACAGGCACATGTTTTGAGACGTAAATTGCGCAAATAAGCTTATTTTTGATATTCACAAATAATTTTTTAATAAAATTTGAATAAATATTTAAAATAATGTATTCAAATATTTTATAGTCTAAATATTTTATAATCTAATCGAACAGAACTTTTCAAACAAGAAAAGTAAAATACCATTTGATTTTTCATATGTATAATGATATTAAATAGTATATTGAATAAAATTATTTTAATTTTTATTGAATCTTGGTATTTTCTTTGAATCCCAAAGGCTCAAATCCATTTAATTTTCCACATGATCCCTCGTGTTTGAATACTTTCCTAATTCAGATGAAAATATTATTGTTAAATTGATAATGATCGAGCAAACGATACTTGTTACTTTGATTTATCGAGTAATATTTTTCCGTATGCAGACGCATATGCGTATATGTGTGTGCAAATTTCTCGCTGCGCAAATATTTCATCTCTAAGAATCGTTAAAATACCCCTGAAAAAGGAACTATCAAATAAGTGAAATCTTCGCCGATCGTTTGGTCTCAGTTTACAAAAGTTTTAATTTTTTTAAGAATAGTTAACAGTATTTTTGTTTGTTACAGTATCGCGTCGATAATACAATAAATTGCGATAATCGTAGTGCATACAAACTAACAACGAAACAAAAATGGATCTGGATCAGAAACGCAGCGTTTTTTCGAAATGAATGTGAGAACGTGCTCTTTTTCTTTTTATATATATATTAAATTTTATATATATATAAATTCGTGAATTTCTTTATTTCTTCTTCTATTTCGCCTTCGGTGCGTCTTGATTCTTTCATTGGATCAGGGGGGCAGCTCC